CATTGGGCCAAGGGCCCCGTGCTCACCGGTGGTGCCGCCGGAATGGAAGCACCAGTCTGTCTCCAGAACGCATGCGCTTTAACCTTCTTCTCTACCTGAATTCTGTCTCTTCTTGTAGGGGGTGGGAGCGTAAGGGGGAGTAGTTTTTCTATTATTCACTACATTGATACATTTATATTAGACTAGAGGCCCGATGCACAAAATTCGTGCAAGAGTAGGCCTGCCTTCCCCCGGCTGCCAGCACCAGCTTCCCTCTGGCACCTGGGACCCGGGCTTCCCTCGCAGCCCTGGCTTTATCCAGAAGGTGGTACGGAGGACATCCGGTATAATTAGCATATTATGCTTTTATTAGTATGGATAATCTGAGGCAAAGATCCAGTGTCCTCTGAAATCAAGTAAGGTGAATCATCACTCTCAATTTTTGTTTTCTAACTTTTTATTATCTGCACTTGTTTACTCTTCTGAGTGATTTTTAAAAAACAATAACTTCAGCCTGGCGGGTGTGGCTCAGTGGTTGAGTGTTGACCCATGAACTAGGAGGTCACAGTTTGATTCCCAGTCAAGGCACATGCCCCGGTTGCTCGATCTCCAGTAGGGGGTGTGTCGGAGGCAGCTGATCAATGATTCTCATCATTGATGTTTCTCTCTCTCTCTCCTTTCCTCTCTGAAATCAATAAAAATATATTAAGACACACACACACGCACAAATAACTTCAAACTTACGTGAAGTTGCAAAAATAAAAACAGTCCAGGGAACATCCAGATGCAGCTATTGCTAACATTGTCTAATGTGCTTCATTATTGAGTCCCTATGTTGGAAAACAAAACAAAAACCAAAACCAGCATGAGACAATCTTGTGTACCTTTGGAGGTGAGTTATATCCATCATGGTCCTTCACTCCCAAATTCTTCAGGTGTGTTTCCCAGGAATGGAAGTATTCCCTTTCATAATCACAGTGCAGTGATCAGTGTCATATACTTACATGATAACAGCGCTTGTAAATACCGAGCATCCTTATTCCAATCTTACCATTATCCTAATGACGTCATTTTTAACACTCCCCCTTGACCCACATCCATGTTTGGGTTGGGTATTATATTCTCCAGCATCTTTTCTCCTGGAACATTTCCATAACCATTGCCTTTCAAAACACCGACATGTTTAGAGCATATAGTTCTCTCCCCATTTCCACCACATTCCTTATTTTGTGTTTGTGTTCTGATTCAATTCAGGTTCTGCATGCTTCGCCATGGGTCTGTCCTTCTCAGGGTGTGGCACCCCATGTCTATCTGTCCCTCACAGACTTTGCCTTTTTTCTCCCCTGTATAACCAGGTTTTACCTACCCTTCCTACTAATAAGCATGTGAATATCCAGTCTCTGCCTTCCCTCTGACCCCCATTTAGTACCCATTGTACTTGCTTATCTAGTCTTTTTCGTGATGGCTGCAAAAAATGACGGTCAGGTACTCTTTTGAGTCTGTGAGTGGGTGGGTAGGATATGTGTCTGTCCTTCCTTCCTTCCTTCCTTCCTTCCTTCCTTCCTTCCTTCCTTCCTTCCTTCCTTCCTTCCTTCCTCCCTCCCTCCCTCCCTCCCTCCCTCCCCCCCTCCCTCCCTCCCTCCCTCCCTCCCTTTCTCCCTTCCTCCCTTCCTCCCTTCCTCCCTCCCTCCCTCCCTCCTTCCTTCCTTCCTTCCTTCCTCCTTCCTTCCTTCCTTTTTTTAAGCATGAGAGTAACCATGAAAAAAAAACACCAGCTTTCTACACTGAAATGAAATTTAAATTGCTAGCCACATTAGACATATAGCAATTTTCCCATCTAAGTGTGGGAGTTGACCTGTGTAAATACTTCTTGTCATCAGTGGCATTTACAAATTATAAAAAGTTATGACTTATGAAAAATAAGAACTTTGACACTTTGAAAAATATGGAATTAGTTTTTCTTTTAAAATGATAAGATTTATGTTTTGCTCCCCTGCCAGCCTTTGGCCCACCAGGGGTGCCACACACCTCCCATTTGACAGTGGCCAAGTCACATGGCCACTTACACACACAGACTTAATGTATGACTATAAATGATAACTGTGTAATGGGAACGTGCATGAGGTCCCAGGCCTTGTGCTAATAATACTCAAGAAATTAAAGCTCTTACGACCTAGCAAAGGCGTGCTTGGGCTCAGGCCATGCCGGGCTTTGGAGTCTACTGCTGGATGTGGACTCACGTCCTGAGAGCAGAGGGTTCGGCCCGTGCTCCGCCAGCGCTCTGCCTGACGGAGTGCGGATCAGAGAGAGGCCGCTCGGGCCCGCAGCGGGAGGCGCACAGAGCAGCAAGGCCGGGACCCCGCTGGGGTGATGCGCCGGCCCGCCTGCGGGTTCCCCTCTGTGACGCGCGCGGTGGCCCCCAGGGGGCGCTGTCGTCAGCAGCTTGGCCCCTGGCGGCCACCAGTCTCCACCCCGCGATGGGGCAACCGGGAGGGGAAGGTTGGGCCTCCCGGGCCCCTGTAGAACAGCACCTGCCAGGCGGCCCCGGCAGCGGGCACCATGCCCTGGTGGAGTCACCTCTGCCGTGAGTAGTGCGCCCCCCAGCGGAGGTTCACCCCGGGACCTGGCGGGCGGGACGGCTTTGAGGCCAGTGGCTCTCCGTTAGTGGCAGGAGCAGAGGTGGAAAATGCTACACGGCAGAAACATCAGCAGCTTTAGCGAGGGCCGAAGGATGCTCTCCCTGGGGAGCTTGGAGGTGACCAAGCGGGGGGTGCGGGGCCGGAGGGCGCAGGCATGGCTATTTGGCGAGCAGCGTGAGCTGAGTGCGGCCGACGCATGGACAATGAGGCAGAAAGCGGGTCCGGTTTCCAGGCGGGTTCTAGCTCCGTGCGTGGCCGCAGTCGCACGTGGTTCGGGGCAGGACACCTGCCCGGGATGCGCACGTGTGCCATCCTAGTTGGCTGTTATGTTGGAACCCGGTTTCAGCCTTGGCCGCCGGGCTTGGTAGTTGGGAAGGCCGCCCTCTGGTCCTGCGGCTGTAAAGGTGTGTGACAGCTTCCTGAGGTGACGAGAGCGGTGTTTTAGGAAGCAGGGCGTCTCCGAACGGGTCCGCGGGGTGCAGGAGGCTGGTGCAGCTGAAATCAGGGCCGAGTTGCGTTTGCCCAGCCTTTGCACAAAGCAGGAAGGCGCCGTCTGCGCCCGCAGGGGCCCGTCTGGAAGAGTTCTCACAGGAGTAGCCCCTGGGATTACTTAGGTCAAAAGAGACTACAGACCAGTTGACAGGATTTAAAGTTTTTTGTAATCCTATACGAGTACATTTTTTAATGTGCTCAGCCCGTATTTCCCCTCTGTAAAGAAAACATCTGAGTCGTGCTAAGCTATACGCACTACCAGTAACCGCTCTGTTCGCCACTTGGCAGCTGCTCATCTTTGCTTCCCTGGTTTTGACTGTAAACATGTCCCCGTCCTCCCAGAATTCAAGAAAAAGGGTTGCAGATTGAAATGCAGGTGTAGGAGCATGGAAGGAAGGGCGGGGGGGGGGGGGGATGGTGTGGTTAACACCTGCTTTCCCACTATGTGAGCAGTTTCCCTGCATGTCCTATTGAATTCTAGAAAGGTTAGCGAATGGGTTTGTTTTTACCTCATGCTTAGTGGCAGGAAGTTTATGTTTGTGTTTATTAGTAAAATTGTACTAGAATAGAGTTTATTGGGGGGGAGGGAAGTCTTGACATTTTTCCTCTGAATTTCCAGTGATATCATCCACCTTTTCAAAAAAGGTCACACCTCTTGTGTTGCATAAGAAGTGTTTGTGAGTATGTTTTTGTAATTGGAGGCATTTGTAAGAAGTAGTGCATAGCATGGAAATACACTTAAAGAGATCTTTAATTCTTGATGCAGAAGAATGACTATAAGGGTCAAAATGGACGTTATATCTGAATTGATTGATTGGCATTTTTTTTTCGTAAGGAAGTACTCCCTGCTCCCATTTATGCTTTTAGTATCACTCTTTTTTATTATTATTATTTTTTATCCACACTTGAGAATATCTTTTTCCATTGATTTTTAGAGAGTGGAAGGGAGGGAGAGAGAGAGAGAGAAGCATCGATGTGAGAGAGACATACATCAGTTGGTTGCCTCTCGTATGAGTCCTGATTGGGGCCAGGGATCAAACCTGCAACCCAGGTCTGTGCCCTTGACCGGGAATAGAACCTGGAATCCTTAGGTATAGGGCCGACGCTCTAATCACTGAGCAAAACCAGCAAGGGCTTTAGTATCACTCTCCATTCATGGATTTTTTTATTTTATTAAATGCATGGTAACCCATCACTGTTACTATTTTTTTTTTATGCTTCAAAGTTTGGCAAGAAGGAGCGCCTTCAAGCTGGCTCTTGTCCTTTTGCTATGCCTCCCTCAACTTTTGAGTTCCTCTTTTCTGCTCTCCTGAAAAATATTCTTCATACTTTCCCTGACCCAACCGGAATTTCCCAAGGAGCTCTAGTGTCTTTTGGGGACTTGTTAGAGACCAGACTAGTGGTCACATAGAATGCCCCTCCTTTCGATTTGTCTAGTTACTTATTGTGTTGTTATTCGCTTATTTCTTTAACCCTGTGTTTCCTATGCAGTGGAAGAAGTTATGTCTAAAACTTGGTGGGTTCTAGGTCGTGGGTGTCATATGTGATTCCATTTTTCATTGCAACAGAATGTACACTATCTGGTTGACCCGCCCTTTGTGATGCTGTGGCTACTCATTTTTTGGTAGTTGAGATTATTAACTTTCTCTTTACAGAAAGAGCAGAGTAGTACCTTTAAACCTGAAATTTTTAAGGTCATTTGAAAGAAGTAGACACTGCCTTAATCTATTGAGATTCACAAATACTAGATAAGACCCTTGCCTATCCTGGAGTTGCCTGACATTAAAGAAAGTGTTAGCTAGTTGTGTTTTCAAAATGTTTTCGTTTTCGTGAATTGTAATATTTTATCCCTTCTTCTCCTCCCCCCCCCTTTTTTTTTTCTGTTAACAGTTGGACAGAGAGAATCCGAAGATGTGAATGAAAGAGGCTCAGATAAAGAGATGGCTGCCAACTCATCGGTTGTTCAGGACATCACAAAGGATGGGCAGGAGGAAATGCCTGAAATAATTGAGCAGATTCCTTCTTCGGAAAGCAATTTAGAAGAACTAACGCAGCCTGCTGAGTCCCAGACTAATGACGTTGGATTTAAGAAGGTGTTTAAGTTTGTTGGCTTTAAATTCACTGTGAAAAAGGATAAGAGCGAGAAGTCTGACACGGTCCAGCTACTCACTGTCAGAAAAGAGGAAGGTGAAGGAGCAGGAGAGTCAGAGGGGGCTGGGGACCACCAAGAGCCCAGCCGGGAGGCGGGAGAAGCAACACACAAAGAAAATGAACTGAAACAATCCACAGAGAGCCCCGAGAAGCCTCTGCAACCCGAGCAGAGCAGCACAGAGATTTCTTTTCAAGCTGAGTCTGGTCAAGCAGCCGAGGAAGGCAAAGATGGAGAAGAAAAACAAGAAAAAGAACCCACCAAATCTCCAGACTCTCCAACCAGTCCAGTGGCCAGCGAAACGGCGTCACCCTTCAAAAAATTCTTCACTCAAGGCTGGGCTGGCTGGCGCAAAAAGACCAGTTTCAGGAAGCCCAAGGAGGATGAGCTGGAAGCTTCGGAGAAGAAAAAGGAACAAGAGACAGAAAGAGTCGACGCAGAAGAAAAGGAAAAAACAGAAGATACCTCTGAGAAACTGGCTGCTGCGGAACAACCACAGCCACAGGAGGCCACAGAGAGTGTCCACGATGCCAGATTATCAGCTGAGTATGAAAAGGTGGAGCTGCCCTCTGAAGGTCAAGGGCAGGCATCTCCTGAAGAGAGATCCGCCCCTTTGGCCACAGAAATATTTGATGAAAAGGTAGAGATTGTTGCAGAAGTCCACGTGAGCACGGCGGAGAATGCAGAGGAGCAGGAAGCTGAGGTGGAGGAAACAGAAGAGCCCCAACCGGCTGAGAAATTGGCCGAAACCAGCGCTGGGCCTCAGGAAGCCGAACCTCCAGTGTGTGCGCCGGGAGGGGACCACACCCAGCCCCCCGAACCAGGTCCTGAGGAGCAGGCGCTGTCTGCCCAGCCGGAAGGCATCGTGAGCGAGGTGGAGATGCTGGCATCCCAGGAGAGAGTGAAGGTGCAGGGAAGCCCGCTGAAGAAGCTTTTTACAAGCACTGGCCTGAAAAAGCTCTCCGGAAAGAAGCAGAAAGCGAAGCGAGGGGGAGAGGAAGAGTCGGGGGAGCAGCACGCGGCCCAGGCGGATTCTCCCGATAGCCCAGACGAGCACAAGGGCGAGAGCTCTGCTTCCTCCCCGGAGGAGCCCGAGGAGATCACGTGCCTGGAGAAGGGGATCGCGGAGGCCCACCCGGACGGGGAAGGCGAAGAGGGAGCCACTTCCGATGGAGAGAAAAAGAGAGAAGGTGTGACTCCCTGGGCGTCTTTCAAAAAGATGGTGACGCCCAAGAAACGTGTGAGAAGGCTTTCGGAAAGCGACAAGGAAGAGGAGCTGGAGAAGGCGAAGGGCGCCACGCTGTCGTCCACGGAGAGCGCGGCCTCGGAGATGCCGGAGGAGGGGAAAGGGCACGGGGAGGAGCCGAAGCCCGAGGAGCCGAAGCGCAAGGTTGACACCTCGGTGTCTTGGGAAGCTTTGATTTGTGTGGGATCGTCCAAGAAAAGAGCAAGAAAGGCATCCTCTTCCGATGAGGAAGAGGGACCGAAACCGACGGCAGGAGAAGGCCCCAAACCAGACGAAGCAGGAAGAGACAGAGAGGCGGGACCAGAGGCTGTCCCCGCAGGTGCCCAGGAGCACGACCCAGGGCAGGGCAGCTCCTCCCCCGAGCAGGCGGGAAGCCCCTCGGAAGGGGAGGGCGTGTCCACCTGGGAGTCCTTTAAAAGATTGGTCACCCCGAGGAAGAAATCCAAGTCCAAACTGGAAGAGAAAACCGAGGACCCCGGAACAGGGGCCGGTGTGGAACATTCGGCGGCAGAGGTGGAACCCGGGAAGGAAGAATCTTGGGTTTCAATTAAGAAATTCATTCCTGGCCGGAGGAAGAAAAGGTCCGATGGGAAACAAGATCACGCCACTGCCGAGGATGCGGGGCCGACAGAAGTCAACGAAGACGATGCCGACGTCCCGGCCGTGGTCCCTCTGTCCGAGTACGATGCCGTGGAGAGGGAGAAAACGGAAGCGCAGGAAGCCCGGAAGAGGGAGGAGACGGCCGAGCCAAAGGGGGCGGTTTCTGTGTCGGAGGAGCTCAGCAAGAGTCTGGTTCATACCGTGACTGTGGCGGTCGTCGATGGGGCGAGGGCTGTGACCCATATGGAAGAAAGGTCGCCTTCTTGGATCTCTGCTTCGGCGACAGGGCCCCTCGAACAAGCCGAAGAGGAAGCTGGACCACCCCCTGCAGGGGTGTTGGAAAGAGAGGGCAGGGCAGAGGACAGCCCCGTCGTCACCCAAGCCCTGCCCGAGAGCCGAGATGCCGGTGAGGACACCCTCACCAGTGAGGTGGAACCCACTCCCGAGGCCGTGACGGCTGCGGAACCCACGGAGGCGTTTGGTGCCGAGGAGGCGACCGAAGCATCTGGTGCCGAGGAGACCACCGACATGGTCTCGGCCGTCTCCCAGTTAAGTGAGTCTCCGGACACCACCGAGGAGGCCACGCCGGTTCAGGAGGCGGAGGGCGGCGAGCCCGACGTGGAGGGCCAGGAGAGGCGGACCCAGGAGGTCCTGCAGGCGGTGGCGGAAAGGGTTAGAGAAGCGTCACAGCTCGATGTCGGGGGCCCGGGAGCCGAGATTCACACAGCGCGGAAAGAGGGATCCCAGCTGCCAGAGGTGGGGGAGACCGAAGAGGACCCTCCCGTGTCGGAGCTGAAGGAAGAGGTGGACATGGTGTTGCAGGGACACGCAGGAGAAACAAAAGCTGAGACTCTGACACCAGGGGACGTCTTTGGACAGGCCGCCCCAGAACACGCTGGAGAAGTCCCTCCAGTCCCTGAGAGCATCCCGTCCAGTGAGCTCAGAACCCCCTGCCAAGCCGAAACCTTGGTTGGTGTAAAATCGGAGATCGTCCTGGAACAGGCTGTTGGCCCCGACTCGGCCGAAACTCTCACAGACAGCGAGACCAGTGGAAGCACCCCCGTGCCCGACTGTGAGGCTCCCCCTGCAATGCAGCAAGTCAAGGTCATGGAAGTCCATGCAGAGGGTGAAGGTGCATCCGGTACGAAATCGCAGGTCATGGAGGCCCAGGCAGCTCCTGCACCGAAAGAGATGCCCCCAGCACCCTCTGGGCTTCAATCACAGGAAGAAAAGAAAGAACACTCAGAAATAGAAGGGGGTCCAGAGCATACGGATAAAGAGGTATCAGTGGAGGCTGTACCCATTCTTTCAAAGGCTGAGGCGACTCCGGAGGCTGGCCAGTTTGCTGATGAGGAAACCAAAGACGTACCCTTCATTCAAGGACTTGAAGTATCTGCAGACACAGAAATGACAGCTGGACAGAAAAAGGCCATGGAAGTCGCCCTTAAAGATGAAGTTACTCAAGAAGCTGATGGTCAAAAGAATGAAAATACTGAATTCCAGAGTCCTGCTCCGTCTCTTCCAGCCCCAGGGGAGAGAGAGAGGGTAGTGCAAGTGGAAAGGGAGGAAGCGGTGGCCAAGGCAGCCCGAGTGAGTGAAGAGAAGCTTGAGCCAAAACCAGCCGAAGTGCTCAGCAAGCAGCTGGTCCACACGGTTCACGTGACCGTCGTAGACGGGGAGAAGGAAGTTCTCCCTTTTGAAGAAAGTTCTTGGCTAGTTCAAGCGGACAGGCTCTGCACAGACAGTCAGGCCGAAGTGCTCAGCAAGCAGCTGGTCCACACGGTTCACGTGACCGTCGTAGATGGGGAGAAGGAAGTTCTCCCTTTTGAAGAAAGTTCTCCTTGGCTAGTTCAAGCGGACAGGCTCTGCACAGACAGTCAGGCCGAAGTGCTCAGCAAGCAGCTGGTCCACACGGTTCACGTGACCGTCGTAGATGGGGAGAAGGAAGTTCTCCCTTTTGAAGAAAGTTCTCCTTGGCTAGTTCAAGCGGACAGGCTCTGCACAGACAGTCAAGTTCAAAGCTCGGAGGCATCATTACCTCTAACAGCTGCCGCTGTGGAGAAGAAGGTCTTAGGCGAAACCGTCAAGCTTTTAGAAGCAGCTGGACCTTTAGAGTCTGCAGATGCACGTTTGGAACCAGAAGCGAAGCCCTCTGACCAAGAAGACGTTATGGGTCAGCCCGGGGAAGATGCAGCACCCACAGGCCCTGCGTCTCGGGCAGAATCGGCCCCAGTCGTCATACCCGCCGCCCCTGCAAAAGGCGTCAGTGCTGACCTGGAAGGAGATAAAACCACCTTCCAGGAAGGGAAGTCCGAAGAAGACTGCGAGCAGGTTAGCGGGCAGGGAGACAGAGTGAGTGAAATGAGAGAGGAAGGTTTAAAGGCCGAAAAGGAGATTTTGCAGCTTAAGACTGAGAGCCAGAAACTTGTGCAAAACGTCATTCAGACAGCCGTTGACCAGTTGGTAAGCACCGAAGGAACAGCCACCGACTGCCAGACACCGGCCCAGCTGGCAAAGGCTGACCATCGGGAGGCTGAACAGAAAATTGAAAAAGAAGAAAGGGAACTTCAGGGCTCAGCAGAGGCTGAGGCAGCCCAAGAGGAGTCCGCACTGACCACCGTGGGACAAACCCCCTCAGAAATTTCCAAAGACGCGAATGCAGCTGCAAAGGAGGTCACGGCCTTTGAGGTCAAAGGCTCCCCAGTAAATGACCAGCTGCCTGAAGAGCTCGTCCTCCCAACCCAGGAAAAGAGAGAAGCAACCGGAACCAAGTGTGTGCCAGAATTGGGTGATCGTGCCGGCTTAGGAGAAAGAACAGAGAATGAACCCCAAGAAGATGAAAAACGTGACGCTGTCCATTACCCTGAGAACCAAATCTCAGCCCTGGGAGACCCCGAGGCCTCGGGAGACTTAACCAAAGAGTCCTCGGATGCAAATGGACCAAAACTAAAAGAGAAGGAAGTGGGATTTCAGGAAGGAAAAGGGCCGAGCGAGCCGGAAAAAGAGATCAAAACGCAAACACAGGAGGAGGCACAGGAACAAGAGAGGCAGCCAGCAACGCCAGAACTTGCGGAACCCTAAGACGTCAGGTAAGCAAGCTTCTTTTTCTTCTGAAATAATTGTTTCCTCTTTCGTGCCGTTTGATGGCAAATTTGTTATAGGGGAAGCAGGAGCTCAAACCATGATGATTTTAGGCAGAACCTGCCATTGGGGAATGCCCGTCCACCAGACTAGGAGATCTGGGTTAATTAGTTTCTTTTTTCTCTCTCATTGAAATGCCATTCAGTCATCTTGGTGTCATGAAAATAATGATGTCATTTTATCCCCAATGTGACTGCTTTCAAAGAAAATAAAGGCCCACATGTGCGTGTTTGGCCAAAGATCTAAGAAATATGTTGTGCTCACTCAGCCCCATACCAACTAGTCTGTTGAATTTTTTTATGACTAGAAACTCAAAGTACGTTTATATTATACTGCCTGAAATTTATTTTATAGCTCTTTAGAGGAAAAATTAATTTTTTTTCCAGCATTAGTCACACTTTTTTAAATATATATTTTTATTGATTTCAGAGAGGAAGGGAAAGGGAGAGAAACGTCAATGATGAGAGATAATCATTGATTGGCTGCTTCTTGCAAGTCCCCCAATGGGGATTCAGCCCACCACCCATGTGCCCTGACTGGGAACCGAACCTCAGCCTCCTGGTTCATAGGTCAATGCTCAACCACTGAGCCATGCCGGCCGGGCTAACAAACACTAAGATTCCAGGCATGTGACATGTTAGGGAACCACAGACATTGGCTTTGAAGTCGAAGAGCACCTTTTACTTTCTTATAGAATTAAACGATAGTATTGGAGTAGCCAGTGACTGCAGCTCACCTTCACAGTTCTTCTGTGGCTATATGAATGAGGAGAGGAAAAGGAGACTATTTTTACTTTGGAATCTTTCTTTCTCCTCTAGTTACACGAGTGTCTTTGCAAGACCAGAATGTGAAGACAAGTGGTAGAAGAAAATGAATGCTGCTGATGACACTCAAGACCAAGATTTCAGAACTTTGAGATCCCAAGAACAGGCCTGCCAACCGATCTCATTCCCAGAGAACCCCGACAATCCTGAGGCTGCTTCGGGAGCTAGAACCAGTTCTTCCTCAAGACCGCCTGCCGCGTCCCCTTGATGCCATATCGTGTTTCTCATCCGAGCTCCTGAATTCTTCACCTGGAACTGGAGTTGGCAATACCTAGTTCCACTTCTCAAACTGGAGTATCATTCTTTATGTATTTATATGTATGTCTTAAGTAATCCTCCTCCTGTATCTATTGTATATTTTTTCCTACTGTTTAAGGAGATGTGCGGTAGAGTACACTTCCGATGTACCCCAGTCTGTGATGGGGCATGGGCCATAAGTGTCGCCGTGGCAGCTCTGAGCCTCCCGTACAACCTGTGAAAACAGCTTCCTAGAATAACATTCCTGAGCAGAAGCTGCATTCTCACTTTAAAATTCCCTAAGGACGAGGCCCGTGTTTAGTATTACTCTGAAGTCGGTCACTTTCCTATGATGCATAATGTGCTAAAAATGAAAAGCATCTTTAGGGCGGAAGCATACAGAATGTTCTGTGGTTACTGTGAAATTTTTCTTTCAAGCCCAGTGGAGAGTGGAAGTTTGTTTTTTTTTTTTTTTCAGTAGTAGATTAACTTCCAGTCTTTTCTCCTAATTGTTATGGTGGTTTGGACAGATGTGGGCTTAATCCTGAGGCAAAGTAGTGAAATGTTTTTCATACTCTCAAGAAAAGGATTGACTGTAAGTTTTGGGTTCTACCCTTACATGCGGGACCACATTCCCACACGGCATGAAGCAAATCAGGCTCTTTACAATGGCATTTTGATAGATGCTGGATTGTGTCTGTGCCATATTTGTGCCCACTCTTTTAGAACAATGTCACATTATGTTCATTTGGATAAACTGTGATTTGACAACTGACTTACTAGTAAATAAAATATTTGCTTCACTTAGATTTGCTGGTTTTATTAGATACTAGGAAGGCTGAGACCTGTGTTTCCTGCCTTCTGCAAGCAGAAAAAGCTAGATAGAGCTTTCTAATGTAGTTGCTGCATGATGTGACCACTTCATACCGGTTTGAGTTCATGTTCAGAGGAAGTCATAGCAGATAGGTGTCTGCCAAAATAAACCAGGGGCTTTTCAGATGGACGGTACTGATACAATGCTACCATCTGGTGGTATCTTCCTGAAAAGGCCAATTTTCTGCATTAATGTTTGTTCATGATGAGTGTTTCTAGAAAGAAATTTTAAGAAGGCTTAGTAGTAAAATTGCCTTGCAACAGGAATTTTTCTAAATGTTAAAAATGATGTCTGATTCCTGCTAATATATAAAGGATGCTGTTGAACAGTTGCCACACAAAGAATAGTCCGTTATCTGCCCTAAAATTCCACTTTTCCGCAGGTAAACTGGCCTAGCAAAGACACTTTAAAAATTTTACTCCAGCTCGGTACTCCCAGTTTGAGAACTTAATTTCAATGGCCAATTGATTTTAAAGGATAACATTCTAGAAAGACTAGAATAGCCTTTTAGCAGAAAGAACATTTGCTGTTAGAAGTGACAAGTAGTTGCTCTGATACCAACACACCTGATTACAATAAAACATTGGCTGTAGTAGTTGCTCTGATACCAACACACCTGACTACAATAAAACACCGGTTCTAGTGTACGGCCTTGTAGCTGGAAAGTACTGACTAGCTTTTAGGAATTACTCTCATGTATAATAGCCACCTGTGCTTAATTGTTAAACTTTAAAATCTCCAAATTAAAAAAAAAGAAACCTGTGATCTAAATCAGCGGCTGCCAACCGGTGGTCCATGAGGTCCGAAAGGTTGGCGACCACTGGTTTAAGGAAGCCTTCGGAGCAGTGGTCACCAGCCGGTGGTCCGCAGACCAATGGCGGTCGGAAGGTTGGCGACCGCTGATCTAAATAGCTTCTCTGGCCAACTTGGGACTTCTTTAAAAAAGTGCTCGTGTCAAATTTAGAAACATCAATGGTGAGAGAGTATCATTGATGGGCTGCCTCCTGCACGCCCCCTACTGGGGATCGAGCCCACAACCTGGGCATGTGCCCTGACAGAATAGAACTGTGACCTCCCGGTTCATAGGTTGACACTCCACCACTGAGCGACACCGGCCAGGCGCCGGTGTCTGTTTTTGAAGATCAACCAAAACGTATTGGAGATGACAGCGATTTGGAAGGAGTTCAATGGTAGCTCCTCTCTCCGGCAGGAAGACACTGTGCTATTTTGAGCAGATTAAAGATTTGTGTCGTTTGTGGTAAACAGATTTCCTTTTTTTTTCCCTCTTCGGTTTAAATTCCATCCCACCACTTCATCACATTTGTACTGACATGTGGCCACGCAGGTCATCACAGCTGGTCGCCTTCATGGCTCTGCTCCTCCTACATCTGGACGGGCCCTGGGTTACTTCTGTACAAGCTCTGTACCTCTGTCTGTTAAGCAACATTGTTTTACTAACGAGGAATGCTATTAACAACTGTAGCGTGAAATACAGTTAGTTCTGTGTTATAATTCTAAAGCTGCCGTTACTTTATGAAGTTCATAGTAACCGTGTAATCTGCAGAAATTGGAGCAAGTGCCTAAATTTTGCTATTTTTGGCATTACTATGGAACCATGTACAACAGAAAGCAATGCAAGACTTGTAAACTCTCGCCACTTCTTGTAATTGAAGACTATAAAATGTGCCCCTAAAGGTTATTTTCTTAATGGTTCACACAAGTTGTCTCTCTCTGTACATGTCTACTTTGTTCCAGAAGTTTCCTTTGCTGTTTGGAGCTACAGATAGTCAAGGGCTGAAAATTTTAGCTTTCAGTGTAAGCTTCAAGCCTAGCAGTTTTCTTTAACCTCAGACAATATTTGATTCCTAGTTCTGTGTGGGGGCAAATTTTCATTTATCTAAATAAAATGCAACCTAATGAAATGCCATGGGTTTTCTCTCTATAATTTTTACCTTAATTCAGTTTTGCTTGCTTTTCCCTGTCATTTCGTGATATTCCTCACACATTTAACTTTTTAACTACTAAGCCATCCCTTTGTGACACCGCGCAGAGCATCATGGGAGTTTGGAATGTCTCTGGGATATGTGTGAATGTGCAAAAATCTCTGTCGGTGATTTTTAACCTTTTGGGGTCAGGGGAGCCCTTTAATTGGAATCTTATTAAACCTCTGACTGACCTCCAAAAACCCCAAAATGAACAGTGTCGTCATGTACAGTTTTTGGATAGTCACACAGACTTTGAAATCCCAACCAACAATCAGAACTAGAGTTAAGTCTCTACAAGAAAGGAAATGGACACAGTTCAAGGACTCCAGGTAGTGAGCGGATAAAACCTGGACACAACCAATGTGTCCAGTAACCTCAAGCCTACATGACTATTCATTTTCTTTTTTTTTTTTTTTTTTAATATATTTTATTGATTTTTTACAGAGAGGAAGGGAGAGAGATAGAGAGTTAGAAACATCGATGAGAGAGAAACATCGATAAGCTGCCTCCTGCACATCTCCTACTGGGGATGTGCCCGCAACCAAGGTACATGCCCTTGACCGGAACCGAACCTGGGACCCTTCAGTCCACAGGCCGACGCTCTATCCACTGAGCCAAACCGGTTTCGGCACATTTTCAAAGTGATTCCAGAAATGGATCTGCTGGGCAACCTTGCATTTTTGTGTAAATCCAAGTTTCTCCTCTGTGGAGAGTAGCTACAGCGTTTGAACAGGTTCAAGCCTGGGACTAATGAGAGGGCACGGTCCTCTCCTGGCAAAGCCACGTGCAAGTCCCAGCTTGGAGGGCAAAGCCCTCCCAGCACGATTATAGCCAAAGTTGTAAGCCTGACCTTATGGTCCGAACCTGTGGCCCCACGTGGCTGAGTGATGTGGGCTGCGGGAGGTGCCACAAGTAAACAAAGCTTGATCAGGTGCATGTCATTGAGTAGATTCGAAACCACGAGAACGTCGTAACCAGGCCCTTACTTTGCCTCCTGGGATCTGGCTATAAAATAAAGACTCGGCGTGCAGGCCGGGGCGCTGTCTCCATCAGAGAGGGCAGCGTCCCACCTAGCGCCCAGCTTTCTTCTCTTGTCTGTCTTTTCTAAATCCGTCACCGCTCCCTCTCAAGTTCGCCCATGGCGGTGCTGGCTCGGCACACTCCTCTCCAAATTCCTTACCATCTCCAGCCTAGGTCACTGGAGTTAGGAAAATGACCTGGGCCTAGCGGGAGTGGCTCAGTTGGTTGAGCTTTGTCCTGTGCACTGAAGTGTTGCCGGTTTGATTTCCGGCCAGAGCACATGCCTGGGTTGTGGGTTCAGTCCCCGATTGGGGCCCAAACAGGAGGTAATGGATCAATGTTTCTCTCTCTCTGTCTCTCTCTCTAAACATGTCCTTGGGTGAGGATTAGGAAAAAAGAAATAAAACAGAAACTGATCTGGGGTCTATCTTTATGAGAGATTTGAGATTATCACCTGCTCTTAAGTGATAACAGGTTTAGGCTAAGGTGGCCAGGACTTGGAGATGGCATGGTGGTGAAGATAATGAAGAAAATCTTTTTTTTAAATGTCACAGCTCACAAATCAAACATTTCTTTCACTGAGGATATTTTTTCATTGATTTTAGAAAAGAAGGGGTGGGGGAAGAGAGCGACATCAACATGAGAAACAGCTATTGGTTGCCTCCCACATACGCCCCAACCGGGTATCGAACCCGGAACCTTTTGGTGCTCGGGACGATGCTCCAACCGAGCCACCTGGCCAGGGGGAAACCCATTTCTTGAGATAGAAATATAACTGGCGTCCTTACAGTGCTCTACTCTGTAATCTCATAACTCTGCATATTTTCCCGTTGCTAGTTAACACTGAAATCTGTAACACCAGAGAAGTGTTACCTCTGACCTCTTAAGAGAAGCTTCACTGTAACACTCGGATTTGGGGACGGGGTGGAGTAACAGTTCCTAACTGACGACATCAGTGTTATTTCCCTACAACAGGATACTGGATACTAGAGCCTCGTAACCACCCTGTGCTTTTCCTTCAGTTCTAATCACAGTGTAATTCGTGAGCACACGGGCAATACTTAAATTAGGCGAATTTAAATTTTAAAGCCACACTGTGCTTGATCCTGATTATCCCCGTTAGTCTTAGGAGCTCACCTCGTACCTGGAAAAGCAGGTGGGGTTGCCTGTTGAACTTGAAACCTGAACACAATCAGGGTTCTTTTAAAAGATTTGACAGACATGATACTATAGGGTGGGCAGGTGGGCTGTATCAAGGAATGAGATTAACCCTAACAAGTATTCAAATAGTTCAGGGAAGTGAGGCTGTCTCTGCGATGCTACTATATGCTATGCTAGCGCCTCCAGGGCAGTGCTGGGGGCTGTGAGTTTTCAGTTATCACAGTGGCTAGGGTGTTACTAGAATTTTTAAAAATATGTATTTTATTGCCCTAGCTGGTTTGGCTCAGTGGATAGAACCTCAGCCTGTGGATCAAAGGGTCCAGGGTCCAATTCTGGTCAAAGGCACATACCTTGGTTGCAGGCTGCTCCCTGGCCCTGGCCAGGGCGTGTGCAGGAGGCAACCAATCAATGTGTTTCTCTCACATCAATATTTCTCTGTCTTTCCCTCTCTCTTCCAGTCTCTCTAAAAGTCAATGGAAAAATATTGTCAGGTGAGGATTGAAAAGAAAATGAATAAAGAAGTATGTGTCTATCATTTAAAATATATTTTATTTTAGAGAGGAAGCAAGGAGAGATAAAAACATCAATGATGAGAATCATTGATCTGCTGCCTCCTACACGCCCCCTGCTGGGTGCCTAGGCATGTGCCATGACTGGGAATCGAACCTTGACCTCCTGGTTCATAGATCAACGCTCAACCACTGAGCTACGCCAGCTGGGCTAGAACTTGATGAGTGTAGGCCACAGATGTTTGTGATCCTGCAAGGCCAAAGGATAGCCCCCTCCCCTCTTTTTTTAAAAAAGATTTTTTGTGTTTGATTTTTAGAGAGAAGGGCGAAGAAAGCACGAGAAACATTGATATGAGAGCAAGATATCAAGCGGCTGCCTCCTGCACCCCTTACTGGGGATCGAGCCAGAAACCCCGGCATATGCCCTCAACGGAAATCAAACCAGCAACCATTTGGCTTAAGGGACTGTTGTAGGCAGTAGTGGTTCTCAACCTGTGGGTTGCGACCCCTTTGGCGGTCGAACGACCCTTTCACAGGGGTCGCCTAAGACCCTCCTGCATATCAGATATTTACATTACGATTCATAACAGTAGCAACATTACAGTTATGAAGTAGCAACGAAAATAATTTTATGGTTGGGTCACATTATGAGGAACTGTATTTAAAGGGCCAGAAGGTTGAGAACCACTGATAGACTGATAGCAGAGCAAGGATGAGGGGCTAGGTAGGTCACCGGGTGGAAAGCCCCAGGGGCCTAGCATAGGACAATCGACTGTAGGGTGGGATCTTGCCCCCGGTGACTCTTCTCCCCGAGCATAGCCCTGGTCTTGGGGTTTGGATCCCCTGACCTTTCAGCCCCAGAGACAACATCTATGCCTCAGTTGTATTTCAGCTCCAGGCTCAGATAAGCAACAATGCCAGGCACAGCTGACCTCAGGACCAGCTGCATTGGATAATGACCCCCTGCCCTGGTGCCTGCCAATCAATCAGTGGGGAACACACCCTGAAAGGATACACCTAGAAAGCTGCTGAATATTCTATTAAGATCGCCCCCTGGCCCTGGCCTGCGTGGCTCAGTCGTTGAGTGTTGACCTATGAACCAGAAGATCACGGTTCAATTTCTAGGCAGGACACATGTCTCGGTTGCTGACTCGATTCCCAGTGTGGGGCTTGCAGAAGGCAGCCGATCAATGATTCTCTCTCATCATTGATGTTACTATCTCTCCTCCTTTCCTCTCTGAAATCAATATATTAAAAAACAAACAACAAACCCTTAGGACATGCCCTAGCTGGTTTTTCTCAGTGGTTAGAGCGTCAGCCCGAGGACTGAAGGGTTTTGGGTTCCATTCCAGTCAAGGGCACGTACCTCTTGGGTTGCAGGCTCAATCCTCTGCCCTTGCCCTGGTTAGATGTCTCTCTCTCTCTCTCTCTCCCCGTCCCTTCCACTCTCTCTAAAAATCCATGGAAAAATATCCTCGGGTGAGGATTAACAAAAAAATTAAAAATAAAATCCTTAGGCCGGAGGACCCAGTGCGCTCTTCCTCCTGGGAGCACCCTGGTGCCTTTCCCCTTCCCTCCCCTTCCCTCCCCAACCCGCCCTCTCCTTCCCTGCCCCGGCTCTTTACTGCCAGCTTCCTCACTCCCAAGCTCCAAGGCCCTTCCTTTGCCTCCATAATTTGTCTCCCTAAACTCATTTCTTCTAGAAATTACCTTTTCTACCTGTGATTTACCCAGTACATGTTCTCTTACAGTTTGGGTCTTGGCTCTGAATTCTTTTCTAACCCAGGTTTGGTCTGACCGCCCCCCCACCCCGCACCCCCCACCCCCCTTCCTGTCAGACACCTGGTGCTGTTCCCACCACCTCACAACCCAATTAACTGAGCCACACCTGCCAAGACAGGATAGCCCTTCGTAAGGATTTTCCATCTTCTTTAAAAAAAATGTATTTTTATTGATTTCAGAGAGGAAAGGAGAGGGAGAGATAGAAACATTGATGATGAGAGCATCATTGATCAGCTACCTCCTGCATGCCTCATACTGGGAATCGAGCCCCAAACCCAGGCATACTCGTGTGCCCTGACTGGGAATCAAACCGTGAACTCCTGGTTCATAGGTCGATGCTCAAGCACTGAGCCACGCCGGCCGGGCCATGCTCTTTTTCAGAGAGGAAACATCCACCTCATGCCATCTGCATTTCCTTTCTCTCCTCCTGTCCCTGGTGCCTTTTCAGGTTTTGTGGCTTGCTAG